GGAGGGGAAACAACTGGATCAATAGTTTGTTTGGTTGAATGCAGGCTAAGAGACAAGGATTATCACAGAAACAATTGCTGTCACACATATTTGGGAAAAAAATCACTAAAGCAACACAGAATTAAGATCAACAGTCAAATCAACAGTCAAATTAGATTAGAGATCGATTGTTTTAATTATGAATTGTAAATACGTTTTTTGTTCTGTATAGGTTGGTGTTTGATCATTTATTTATTTGTATTTTATTAAAGAAATGCATCAGTGCTTTTGGTTTCATCGTTGCATTGCAAATACCAGGGTTCTTACGGTCATTGAAAACCTGGAAAAGTCATGGAAATTAAAAATGAAAATTCCAGGCCCTGGAAAAGTTATGGAAAACATGACTTTTCCAGGTTTTCAATGACCGTAAGAACCCTGGTATTTGCAATGCAANCGTGTCTCTAGCAAGTCGTAAGTAGCAGTGAGAGCGTAGCGAGGTGCGTGGTTTATTAACAAGACAGTCTTTAACACGGTTTATGGGCGCGATATCGAAAGACTAAAAAACTACGCATTTGGTAGTTGTTATAACTGCGGTAAAAAGCACACTTGAGAGCGACGACGCGGTACCGACAGCTAGGCCTTGCCGTCGTCCCTCGTCCTGGCGCGTCGGCCCTTGGTGTGCACTTGCAGTGCTTTAACGGAACGAAGGTCTTCGTTTCAAAAAATAACCTGGATATAAAAAGGAAAAAATGTATAATAAGTCATACTTTATTTCTTTGTATGTAACTGATAGACAAACGTATGTGGGGGTCTTTTAGTTGACGGTTTTTTTCAAAACGTACATCTATCTCCTGAATTTGTGCAGCTGCGTGGGGCAGGGCGAAATGTCTGGTGTGGGTTTGGTGTAAGAGGATTTGTACACGAGATAAATTCGACGGTCACCCGGAGTAAATATTTACCCTATATGCGAGTTTTTGACCGCATGCTCGCATCAAAGATGCGTACAAACGTAAAATTTTATGATTGAACTGCCCTTTTGCACGCCAGGAGGTCGTTTGAGATTGGTCCCACAGCGTTGGGGGACCACCGTGCGGTGGCTATTGGTCACGTTGATCTTTTCACCTTATTCACACGTTTTTATAAATTTAACATAAAGCCTAGGACTAGCTCTGCGGCGTCTCGCGACAGAGGGCAATGGACGTCTTCTTCGGTACGTGCATTGCGTGGGGCGAGAGAATTGAGGTTCGCTGAAGACGCGAAAGGAGGCACAGATTTCGATAGCAAGTGGTGCTCTTTTCGTGAAGTGATTAACGCATCATCCGGATGTGATTCCTCGACATGTTTACGGCGTCAAAAACGTAACGACTACTAATCCTTTCGGGTCACCGCCTGACTGTAGACACACAACTTGAAAGGACAGTCGAGGGTCCCTGGCATAGCTCTCTCCGTCTCGTTGTTCGAAGTCCAGTTGTTGGTTGAACTCGAATTTAATGACCTTCTCCGCTCGAGAAGAACCCTCCGGCACGTAAAATATCGACAAGACAGACAAAGTGTTTTATGTAGTGTCTGCCAGACAAAAAGACGAGGAGCAAAGTGAAGGTTCTTTGTATGTGTGCAAGGGAGTGACAGCGAGATGGTAGGTGTTCGGTGTGGGGGGAAAGAGAGAGAATTTCCCTGTCGCTAGAGTAGAGTGAGACGTACTGGGATTTATATCCACACGAGACCTCTTAGTGTCTTGCCTGCTAGCAGGAATAATATCGGCAATTTGTTAATAAAATTTTACACAAACAATTTAAGCCGTAGTAGTACATTCAACATGTACAGCTCCCCGTTCGACGAGAGGTCGGATAAGCAACTGCGCGAGGGAGGTACAACGACATTGAAGTGCTCGCAGTACGAGGACGCGGGGGAGGTCGAACTATTTAAGAGATAGAGTCGTTTTAACACAACGAAGATCGAGTTTGTTTTAAAAAAAAATTTACGTTGATAGTATAGTTTTCCAACTTGGCTGGGACGAACAAGTACAGTCATTGAGGTACGGAATGATTTGTCGCCCGATTCGTGTTTCTACACACACTCGCATCTCTCTTTGACTGCTATAGTGGACACAGCCGTCTTCTCTTCTTACCTCTCCTTTATACACCTTATAATTATGGTATTTATTTTACAATGGAGAGTAATAGATATACTATCTTGTAAATTTGTACCAGAAATAAGAGGCCTAGAACCGTATAGGTTCGAGCCAGCAAAACGCGAATGTGCACCACCGGCCTTCTCTTTCGGGAACAAATGAACGGTAAAACCATCCCGATTGGTGTTGCTACACCCGCCAACGACACACCTCTTCACCATGATCCTTAAAGCTTCGGGAAATCCGGGAAAAAACAAGACAAACTCGGAGATAAACACTGATACACAAAGTTGACATGCGGCTATACCAGCAATGCTACACTGTGTGATGCTGGGACGGGCTGAACTCACCAGGATTCGCGGAACCACACATGACGTCACGACACAGCACCAAGCAGCGGCAAGTTTGAATCCAGACTTTTCTGGATACCTCTGAATTTGACCCATTTTCCCGATATTAACAAGTGATTTACAGCAAATAGGAAACGATATTCGATCTATATCACGTGTTACTGGAATAAGACCCAACAAGTTAATGCATTTTGAAACAGTTCTATGATCTTTCAGCTAAAGTAAATTATGCAAGATAAGGACTTTAATGTATCATTGGTGATCGAGTTGACTGCCTGAACTAGCTCGCAGGCTTCACCCCATTTCTGATACAAGCCATTTTAGTTTTCCAAGGGTGTCAGAAACTGTACTTGAATACACTTTTAGTTGCCAAACATCCACTACTTTCAATGTTTAGCATTGAGGAAAAAAAACGATTAAATGACAAAATAAAATAAAAAGAAGACAATTATCTTAAACCAGACCAATGTCTATTGTGAAATAAATATTACACTTTTTTTAAATGTAATGTGTGAGGCCAGGTTAACTATCTATTCCTTATAAGTTAATAATCAGAATCAGAAAACTTTGTCTAATTCCGGGAGTTATTAGGTTTGGGGATAGTTGCTCCATTATAGAATTAAATAAATACATACAAATAAAACAATACAATAATAATATACGTTTTAATATAAGGAGGTAAGAGAAGGATTGAACAATAGAATACTCTGCTAAATAAAATGCCAAAAAAAAGTGAATACAAATGTTCGTATAAACATAAGAAGTTAAAGTAAGAATGTGCAATACAAATATCTTAGAGCAGAATACAAATATTTATATTAATATATTTATCCAAAATATAATTGAAGTAAAAAGTGTACTGCTGAATTATTTAGGTAGTCACCTGCATACATGAGGCACGGGTCCAAATTCCTTGCTCTAAAAACCCTTTAAAACAGTTGGTACAAGGAGTAAAGCAATCGTTCTGAAAATGAGTGTGTCCATGTTTAGCTGAAATCAATACCGTTATGCGTGGAGCTTGAAGCACGCAGTCATAATGGCAAGCGTTTACAGAGGAGAAGAATTGGACAGTTGTAAGACAGACCATGAATCTCATGAACCTTTGTTATGGGTGTGAATGCAAAAAGCGCATGGACTGTTTCCAAAAATATTGATGGTTTCCTTCAGATTCCCTTTGTCTCACTGGGCCGGTGTTATCTCCCAGCAACATCTCCCCCAAGCAGCTGGGAATGTGATACAATGAGGAAATTACTCATCCAACAGGAACTTGTTGGCTTGTTTTCCAACTATTCTGCTCCTTGAAAGATTGTTTTCTCCTACAAAAATGAAGAGCATTCTTAATGTACTAATATGTTAAAGGACTGGGCGGTGGCTACAGATCCAACAATATATCATAAAATCTATGCGGTATGTAATGTATTGAAGGGGAGTCAATGAACTTGAAAAACACTTTTTACGGTCATTTATTGATTTTCTGATTTAATATCTTAATATCTTTTTTCCCAGTTATGTTTCTGGTTGTTTCAGGTTGAATTTATATTTAAATTCACTGTCATGTCTTTGAGTTGGGAACATTTACATAAAGTCACATTACCTTTTCTTTAGATTGAATTATTCCTCATTGCACTTTATACCCCTATCTTTAGTTGAAACACGTCAAATATCCGTGAATCAGTAAATATTTTACAATTTACAACCAAATAGTCTTGGATGCTCTCGAGGCTGCAAAGGTAGACGACTTCGATTGAAAGTAAGCTGGATAGCTATTGTTTCCTTTTGTATTCCTTCTTATTTTTTTTTGCCTTATCCTTGAAGAGCAACATATATTTGTATTTCCACATCACCAATATTTGGTTTCTTAACCGGTGCAGAGTGCAGCGATCCCTATTCTTTCTTCAATATAATTTGATTGATACTGTCTTGATTGGTTGGTATTTCTTATTCAATTTGGGCTTATGATGGAGCTCACCCCTGATATACAAGAAGATGACCAAACATTACTAGCGGAAATACATTTGTCCTAAATTGTGTTTTGGAATAACTGCCTTTGTATCGACCCTCACCATAACCCTTTGGGGACCCACAATAAATAACTCATAATGTCTCACTTACCCATTTATTGGCATCTGAATCAAGGCTAATGTTATTTATGGGACCGAAACAACATGTGAATTCTGTTTCCTGCAAACTTTAGGACCAGTACAAAGCGAGAGGAAGCATGTGCAAGGTGTCGTGCCAAGAGAGGACCCAATGACTTTGTGTTGACAGCAGAAGTGTTCGGGATACAGCAGGTAGGTTTATCACAAGCGCCTCATCAGCATGACCACCTTTCGTCTGTGGCTATCTGTCATCTTGTTTACCCTTTGTAGCGTTGCTTTGTGTGCAAAATGAGATGTTTACCTGGTGGAGACCACTACGTGCTTCCTGTCCCCACTCTGCACCACACTCTGAGAGTCGGGAACTGCAGTTTGTCGGCTAAAGAAGAGGCAAATAGTTTGAACTTACAAAACTAGACATATTTAGCGACTTTGACAGCAGCTATGCACCAAAGGTACAGTGTGATTTGTCGTCTTACACATTTGCTTTGTAACCAGTGATTTTGGACTGGGATTTATGATCCATATAGTAAAAGTGCTTCCGGACAACTAACAAACTCCATTTCACAGGTCTTTTCAGCAATCCTACCGTTCCACATCAGCAAGCAAAGGAGGACGTGGATCATCGAGAAAGATGTTTTTTGTGGCCGGGGCCAAAAATAATGCAGGACGAAATGAAAGGAGGTAACCAATTCATGCTGAGAATTTGATTTGAAAGGGGACCTATTCTACAAAATGTCAGGTTCATAATTGTATTCTGTGCCTCTATACTGTGGCATGTTTTCATGCTGTAATGTTCAAAAAGCTCTTTATTTTTCTCATACTGCCTGTGCTGCTGCACCTCTTTTCACCCTCTGTCAGAAACCAGAGCCCAGTCTGCTCTGATTGCTTATCTGGCTGGCTATTTTGTGATTAGTCAACCACTTAGAGATGTCCCGCCCCTTAGCCAATCACGCATAATGTCTTGGAGGGCTAGGCGAGATGAAAATGTTGAATAGTGATGTCATTTTGTTATTGGATGTAAACAAAGGAATCCAATGGAGGCGTTTCAGGGGGGGGGCACAAAAACATTTCATTCACAAAAACCTATACAACACACTATTGGAAAGGGAAACCCCCAAAAAGCATAATAGGACCTCTTTAAAATGCAAAGGGGAGGACGGGGGCATGCCCAGGAAGAAGCTCATACCTATCGTGCAATTTTCATTTAATAATATTTGCACTGTAAGTTAAACTAAATATTATATTGTCTCCTTTTTTAACACAGCAGCAAGTCAATCTACCAGAAGTTCCGTCGGGTAGATTTGTTGGACAAGAAGAAGACGGTGACGGCTCTGAAGCCCGGTGAAGATCGAGCCATTTTCCTGGGACTGGGAATGATCCTCTCTTCAGTGATGATGTACTTTGTCCTGGGGGTCACTATGTTACGCTCCTATGCAGACAGGTACAGGCCTGTTGTTTGATATCCCTTCATTTTTACACCCCATAAAGGAAGCTAAGTAAACTATCAGATACATCTTTTATTCATCAGATGCTTTCAGTGCTCTAACCTGAAAATTGAAAAAATGAATACTTTATGAAATCAGGAACAAATTATACCTTAAGCCATTTTCTTACCATGCGGAGGACTATTAGTGCGAGGCAAAAGGACAAGACGAGAGAGGGAATATTTTAGTTTTACTTTCTTTTTGGAGATTAGGGAAAGGGATTAGGGAAATGTAGTTGAATTTATTCAAGTTTGGTATTTTTCCAACATATTTGGACTTTACTGTCAAAATGTTGGTTTATTAACACCATTTCATATATTCCCTATAGTTGGACTTTATGTTCAACAACATTTTCTCTCAAAGTAGCATTTCTTAACACATTGACATTTTTTTTTCACATTTTAGCTTTTTTACCCAACATTTTCTAGAATTTTTTTTCTGTTTATCTTTTTTTTGGTATTAAATCGTTTTTTCATTTAAATCTCATCACAGTGTGTGGACAGAGGAAGGTGTGTGTGTTATACTGAACTCCACGGTCACAGCAGACATGAACTGTTCCTACAACTGTGGGTCAGAGTGCTGGAGAGACTCCAAATACCCCTGCCTGCAGGTCTACGTGAGCGTCAATAACACGGGCCGTGTCAGCCGTTTATCTCACAATGAGGAGACACAGGACACCAGCTCTGAAGTGAGTACAGTGCCAGAGGGGAAAATACTGAGAATTACTGAAGCGTTACAAATGTTGACAATGGCTGTCAAATGTTGGCCTGATTGTAGACGTGCTCTGTTTCCGATTCAGAAAATGTTAGTTGATAGGATTATGTCTGGTCAAGCTGAACGATGATACATGAAGGTTGATGTATTCAATAAAGAACAAACCAACTGATTGCCCCCTAGATAACCTAAATGTCTTTCAATCCTGTCCTTGCAGTGTTTCTACGTGCCAAGGTGCCAGAAAGACAGTGTTGCCATGCATGTCATGATCATGAACATCTCACAGCGTCTGAAGGTGAACCAGAAGGTCACGTGTTACTACGACCCCAGCGAGCAGCAGGAGAACGTCATCCTGACGCGGCTGTATGACCAGACCGTGGTCTTCCACTCGCTGCTCTGGCCCTCCAGCATGCTCATTGGAGGGGCCCTCGTCATCGTCATGGTGAAGCTCACACAGTACCTCTCCAGATTGTGCGAAGAGATAGGGAAGATCAAGAGATGAAATGCAATGCAGCATCTGTCAAAGCCAAGCATATGGGGGCTGGTGATAGACATATGACATGAAAAGGATTAGTGCACCTTCTTCAGATGATATCAGCTCATTCAATGGCCGTCATCAGTGGCTGAGAGTCAGTATCAGTGTAAATATCTGGGTCAGAAGGGGCTTGACCAGGAAACCCATCGGCCATTGTTGTGACAATGATGAGTCTCTCAGGGCAACGACCAACTTCCCTCAGGTTTCCGGTGTAGCCAGTGAATATCCGGGCCATGATTTTCTTCTTCTGTGTGCCAATTGTTTACAGGCTGATTTGCAATTTGTGATGCGATATTGAAGTTAGATTTCAGAGACGACATCTAAGATTGGATTTATCCACAAGCTAATTTTGAGTTAATTTAAGCTAAATTGTTGCAAGATGGTAGCCAAACGATTCTGAGATTGCATTCCACCAATGTGTTCCCCCTATTTTGCTTCACACAGACTTCCTGCATCAATCCAAAGCTTCCTTAAGCGGGTTTTGCCCATTATACCTGGACTTCAAGTGCAAACCAGAACTCATCCAATACAAAATTCTTGTCCAATGCTGCAGATTTATAATAATCAATAATAATAATCCATTTTATTTATTATATAATTTTATTATTTATAAGCGCACTTTTCATTTGCGTAAACAAACTCAAAGTGCTACAGAGTAAAAAGGGTGAAACAAAACAACAAAAACAATTAAAACAACAGAATAAAAGCAGTGACATTTATGCCGGCATGCCAAAATGTGGGGGTTATAGGATTTCATAATCTCTTTTTAGAGACTAGGTTCTGAACAAGATTATCGTCTTTTCAAACAGTAGCTCACCGATACAGGAACAAAAAGGTGGTGACCTCTAGCGGCACTTATAATGACGACGGAACAACGTTCGGTCCCGCAAAACCATTGACTGTAAATAGAAAGTGGTGTCACCAATTGGTTTGGGAACTGGGTTATTTCTAAATTCAGCATTTTGGTTGTCACCATATTGGTTTTTTGGAAGACATTACAAGAAATAATATTTGTACGAAATTGTGAAGATAAGAACAACTGAGACTGACATTTTTAGGTGACCCAAATTGTTAAAACTTGTATTAAAACACAGAAGGAGAAGGAGTTGAAGTTGTAAAACGAAAACATGGAGTATACTTAAACCAGGCAACACCCAAATTACAATTGGGCCCATAAACTCATTATATTTACTCAGATAATTACTCAGATGAGATGAAAGGGTATTTCCTCATAGACAATATGAGTCACCCTTGCTGGCTATTGAAGAAAAAAAATGAAGATTTAAGGAGCTTCCGTAATGTCTTCACTTTTCAGAACTGGGGTTTTTTCGCTCGGTGAAAACTAAAATATGACATATGTTTACTGAAGTATTCTATTGTAACAACAACGTAGGCATACTTATTGTATCTTATTAAACCATGATCTTATACCTAAATCTTACCACACTGTAATTATGCGAAGATCTAAATAATTTAAAGTAAAACATAACAAAACTGCAACCCTTTCATAATGTTTTATATGAACCTTCTGGGCTAGGCAAATAATGGGAGCAGTTTGCCCCTTCTGAAGCAATAGAGTGAAAGTGAAAACAACTGTATAGGCCATTTGATGGCTTGATAGCACTCATAAAAGGTAATTCTTTAAACCCAACAACCTTGCTGTGACCTCTTACAAGCTTCCTCAGGTTCAGACATTTGGAAGAGCTGACTATTTGTCCGGAACGAGGATGTGACTGTTTATAAATGTGAAGTGAATGTTTCAAGCCGGAAACTGTCAACAAAAACACTTCATTTTGCATTCTGCATTATGAAGGGTTTTTATGGATATTTAAATGTGTAAAAATTGTATGTTCTATAAGTGTACGTTTGCTTTTGCACATATAATACACAGGACAATACCAGCATGTATGAAGCCAAAGGGAGAAAACTCTGATGTTAGTCCAAAAATGTCCTATGTGGTTGAGGAATTTACCATTTTGAGAACTTCCCCATACTTCCTATATTTTGATAATAACATGTAATCGTAAATGATTTTATTTTATATCCACTATGTCAGCGACCAAATAATATTTGTAAGCCTCTCATTACGAAATGTATTTAATAAATAAACATAAGGTGATGATGATTTTTGTTGGTCATGAAGTTAAAAAAAACTATAACAATGAAGCTCACCAAACCACAATAAACATATAAATGCATAGTATTTAATATACGTAGCATATGCTTGACATTTCTTATGTATTGAGATGTTATAACACAATTTAAACTTGCAGATTTGCAGGATAAACATATAGAAAGTCAAATAAATAAATTATCAGGTCAGGTTCTCACAAGTTCACCTACAGGTAATCTCATTAATATAATCAGTAAATAAATAAAAATCAAAAATACACTCAAGGCCTCCTATATGTCCTATTAGACCAATACAAATATATTAGGCAAGGTGAGGTTTGTATTTATTCAAAGAGGCGGTTCAATGTGCGTTATATAATGACATTTAAAAAAGACAATGATAACACAACAGTGCATAAAACATATTTTTAAATTAAGGAAAATAAAGAAAAACAAAAGGGTATAAATTAAAACAAAAATAAATAATGCTAATTAAAAAGACATGGATAATAATGAAAAAATTAATTGCTATTACATGTATCATTATATGTGTGGAGGCATGCGAAGCAGTGGCTAGAGTCTTGGTGTTCGGATCAGATGGTCACAGGTTCAAACCCCACTGCAGTCAGCATGTCTTGTGTCCCTGAGACACTTCACCCCAAATTGCTCATGTGGGGATTACCCACAGTATTGAGTATGTAAGTCGCTTTGGATAAAAGCGTCTAGCAAGTAACATGTAATATAAGGTAGTCATGACCAGTCTTAAGCTTGCTTTTATAAGTAGTTTCACTTAGTGCCGATGTAAGGTATGCAGGCCATATGGTCCAACAAATAATAGATCTTAATAACTAAAATAGTTTCACTTTATGGGTCGAAAAGGACAGTGAGTGTCATATGCTGTATACATTGTAGAAGGCATATTTGAGGTTCGTGGTATTGGGGCATTTATATAAATTAAACTGATTTGTCCTAACTTAACCTACAAATCTAACTGTCTACACAGCATTACCATATATTGTCCTGGGAAATTATCTGACCAGTTCCAGTTTACCCAAGGAAGATGTGAATTCAGATTCCTTCAAAATTCAGAACTTCTCTCTATAGCATAAAATAAATGTAAATTCTATAACCGAGAAGAAGCCAGCAGAGACTAGGGAGTCATGTGTTCGGCTCTCTTGACCTTTGTTCGAACTCTAGCAGCCTCTCTGAAAGAACTGAAGCCTTGGAACTTTCTCTGAAAGATCTTTGATATGTTGCTGATTTGTAACTCTGCCTGCTATAAGGTCCAACTGAATTCCATTGAAATGTAACTTCAAAGTTACACCATAAAAAGCGGGGGAAATATAAATAGTGTCAATGTGGAAGCATTAAAACATTATGCAATTAAAATGAATGACTCATACAAGTCTCAATAATACTTCCCCTCATTCCAGTTTGTATCTGGGGGCTCCATCTACACACATACTGAACGGGATTTGCTATGAGCTCTGCTGAATATGACCGTATCATATAGTGACATAACATATTTGGGAGTGTTTTTCATTCACACTTTAGTAATATTTTATAGAGGTTTTTAATGTACAATGGCAGAAAACAGCGAACAAGCGGCTTCCCTTCCTATTCTCATGTCATGACAAAGTGCTTCCTCCAGCTAACGTAAACTCGCTGTATGTGGGACTTCCATGGTGTGGGAGGGCGCTCCATGATGATGAGCCTGCTAGCAGCCTTTGAGCAGGATAGCTGTATGGAGCTAGCGTGCTACCGAACTGTGCAGTTCATTTTCGGGACCGCACGATGAAGAACATCATGAAGTATTATATACTTATTCCACCTCAGCGTTTTGACAACATCACTGGGAGCTAGGGGCGTCTTTTTTCCTACACGGCGGGTCCGTCCCGACCCCTCGGTGTCATTGTTTGGATGGATTAACGTTAGAGCTAGCCCCTCTGTTTGAGACTTCCCGAGCGGGCACAAACGGGACACTCGGCTAGCCGCTGCTAATGATTCTGTTGGAACATTAGCTTGGCAGCTAACCGGTTGGCTAACTGACAGAGGTAGCTTTATATTTGTTTTTGTCATGGTTTGTTGAATGTTCGCATTCCCTGTTTATAAAAGCAGCTACCCACTTACTTCCACGACACATGGTCGGGTCGCACCCTTTTATTGAAGTAACGTCAGTGTAACATGGTTATGTATCAGGCGAGGTTTTTATATTGTAGATGACATTGGTCTGCTTACTGAACTTGGCTAGCATGGCAAGCTAGCAAGCTAAGAAACAACACCTAACACACCAAGAAGCACAACATAGTCGAGATGACTGTCAAACCCAGGCTAACAATATACAACTAAGCCATTCTTTACTAACGAGTGGGTAATGCTTGTTCGTTAATGTGTTTGTTTACATTATTTTTGTCCCTAAATTCGACATCACTGGACATGTCTATCGCTACTCTCTTTGAGTTAACATGGGTTTAACACCACATCACTAAAGCGAAAGTTTCTTTCATACGTGTTTGCGGTCTCTGATGTGATTACACGTTATGTTGCCTTGCTAAAATGATAATAATTAAAACAATACAGTCAAATGTTGAATTCATGCTAGTTCCAACGCTAGGTAGCCAGCTCATTTGTTATAAATGTGTTGCTATCTTAAATTACTATACTTAATGGCTATGTCCAGAGGTGGAAGAAGTACTCAGATCTTGTACCAAAAGTCCTGCATTCAAAATGTTACTCAAGTAAAAGTAAAAAAGTATTATCATCAACATATACTTAAAGTACCAAAGAGTACTCATTATGCAGATTGGCCCATTTAATATATTATATGTTTTGATTATAATTATTGATCATTAAAGTGTTATCAAAGCTGGTAAAGATGCTGCTAATTTTAATTACTTTATATACTGCAGGGTAGCTTGTCAATTCTCATCAGGTGTAACTAAAGTCTGATTTAAATGTCTTGATTATATTTCACATCATTAATCAAAATCTGCAAAGTATCTAGAGATATTAAATAAATGAAGTGGTGCAAAAGTAAACTATTTACTCAAGTAAATTACAAGTCTCTCAAAATGTTACTTGAGCACAGTACTTGAGTAAATGTAATGAGTAACTTTAACCCACTGGCTATTGGCTATATGGTTAGCTCAAAAACAATATGAACAATATGCAGTGGTGCTACAGAGATTCCTCTGTTATGCAATTTGGGAATTTCACAATATTTTTGGCATCCCATGTTAAATTGGTGAAGTGTGTATTTAGAATTGCTGCCTCTATGCAACTCTAGCATCACTTAGGTCAAATGGTTACCACAAGCGTTTTGCATTATTGTGCACAGGTCAGTGGTTCTTATATAATTCTGCTTTCTTCTTTCTGGCAGTTGTTCGGCATCGCTCATCCGATAATTACCGGGCTCTGAAAATAGCAGATTTGTTGGCACGACCATGCCTCCAAGGCCCTCCTCCGGAGAACTATGGGGGATGCACTTGATGCCCCCCAGCATCTTAGTGGACTGCCTTCTGCCAAATGGCATGATTCTCACGTTGGAGTGCCTCCGGGAAGCCACGCTGATCACAGTCAAGCATGAGCTATTCAAAGAGGCCAGGAAGTACCCGCTTTACCATCTGCTGCAGGAGGAGAGCTCCTACATCTTTGTCAGTGTAACCCAGGAGGCCGAGCGGGAGGAGTTTTACGATGAGACCAGGAGGCTGTGCGATCTCAGGCTCTTCCAGGCCTTCCTCAAAGTCATCGAGCCAGTGGGAAACAGGGAGGAGAAAATTCTCAACAGAGAAATAGGTATGGTTCTTCAATTATTATACAGTTACAAACACCTTACTGTGCTTTACACTAATATAGTGTAACAACCATTTGCCTTGGCAATGTCATTACCAGCAGAGAGGACTATACATAACACTGTTGGCTGGAAGAGAACATTTGGTACCTCTTTATGTGGATGTCCAATTAGTGTTTATTGTAAATGTAGTAGGGCTGCACAATGAATATATATATATTTAAAATATGGACTAGTTTTCCATAGACATCGCAGTAAACAGAATATTCAGCAAAGGCAAGAAATGTAAAAATGTCAATCTTAAAAAGTATTGTGGGGCTGCAGAGAAATCTCGGCCTACAAACCGTATTTTATAGTCTTAAAAACACCCCTGTGTTAGGTCCACAACCCTTCTAGAATATCACATCATGATCATTTTAATATCTTTTTTTAATAATGATCTGAACTATGTTTAAATAAATCTAATATTGCAAAACATATTGCGCAATAACAGAATCCGAATCAGAATACCTTTATTAACATATATTCACAAAATTCACATTTGTTACTCCGGCGCAGACTTGAAATCCATCTCTTTCGACTCCACTTCGAGCGATAGAATTACTAACAAAGAATTGCTAACAAAGCACTTATATACTAATAAAGGGCTGGCTTTCTAAAGCCAGTTGAGTAGGACTTGAAATGCTTTGGCTCTATGAAACCTGATGTACTTATATGATTCTGTTTTCTTCAAGTTTGTATCTTGTTGGTCGAATGCACTTATTGTAAGTCGCTTTGGATAAAAGCATCAGCTAAATGCAATGTAATGTAATGTAATGTTACAGCAAAGTAAAAAAAGTACACATCTAGGTAAAGAAAAATTAGTAGCATTATCAGATTTTAGAAAAAAACTGTGTAGAATGTAGTGTGATAGCAGTCGGATATCAGTAGTTAAAACATTAATAAAAGTATATATCAGTCAATATAATCGCCACAATTATTTTTCTCCAACTTGTGGAGCCCTAAAATCTAGTCGATTGAAACAGATAATTCCTCAGTGCTTAGTTTATCTGCCTACATATACCAGGATGCATTGCTCTGAAGTGGCGGCACATTACAGCTTCACACATTTCAGATTGTATGTTTCACATTAAAGCCTGCCTGCCCTTAAATTCATTCAGCCTTGGGCTTTTCTGGCTGCATTTTCTCAACAGCACACTCTGGCTCTAATAAATAGTGCTGAATATCCAAATCAGCCAAAACACTGTACAATGCATCATTTTCCATGACATGGAAAATGTCATGGTTCCCAACCTTTTTTCCCAAGAGCCCCCCCAAATGACTCCTGTTGGAAGTTGCGCCCACCCCCCCCCACACACACACACTTTCAAGCAAATAGCTGGAAATAAGGTCTGTGGTTGACACACATTTAAGAGACGGATCACGTTTTGTTCAGTCGGATAATCTCTACATGTCTACCCTACTTTTATAATTTTCGAATCATAAATCTATCGATCAGATTAAGAATTTAAAGTAAAAATGATCCACAATATATTAAATGTATACTACAGTATATACAGTGGTGACTAAAACATACTTTGATATAGGTGTATTAGTATACATAAGATGCTAATGCTACATTTCACAGTTAAAAAGGATTAGGCTGTTTATAATTCATAATTAATAAGCCATGGCTCACATTTCACATGTCTCGACAAAGAAAATGTTTTATTAAGCATTATTTTTTCCTTTCAGGTTTTGCGATTGGAATGCCAATATGTGAGTTTGATTTGGTGAAAGACTCAGAAGTGCAGGACTTCAGAAGGAACATTTTAAATGTTTGCAAAGAAGCCATAGACCTCAGAGACTGTAACGGACCCCACAGCAGAGCGCTGTACGTGTACCCCCCCAATGTAGAATCCTCTGTGGAACTCCCCAGGCACATCTATAACAAGCTAGATAAAGGTAAGACATTTTATATGAGGCAAACATACACACTTTATCTATGTGCACCTTTTTTCTGTGTACAAAAGACATTTCTTCAATTTCATCTCTTTTATTTCCATCCCTCAGGTCAAATCATTGTCGTCATATGGGTGATTGTGTCACCCAGCAATGACAAGCAGAAGTACACCCTGAAGATCAACCACGACTACGTGCCGGAGCAGGTGATCGCTGAAGCCATCCGGAAGAAGACGCGCAGCATGCTGCTCTCCCAGGAGCAGCTGAAGATGTGTGTGCAGGAGTATCAGGGGAAGTACATCCTCAAAGTGTGCGGCTGCGACGAGTACCTGCTGGAGAAATACCCTCTGAGTCAGTACAAGGTAATCTGATTTAATCTCACTGCGTCTGATGCTATTGTATTTAGGAGAGATACACGTCGCATTACATTATCATCCCACATAAATATGCCTGGCATTTGCCACATGGAATTTGATTTAGGAGAAAAGGAGCTGACTCTCGAGTAGACTGTATACACGTCATAATCTAAGTAATAAGAGCAAATGTTACAGTAATGCTTATTTGTACTCGAATCAAATAATAAACATGTTTACACATAGGGCTGCAACTAACGATTAGTTGCATTATGGAGTAATCGACAAATTAGTTTCTCAATTATTCGTTTGTCAGTCTATAAAAGATCCGAAGATATTGAAAAAGTGTTTATCCAAGTTTCCGTTTTAAATGTTGTATTTTGTCAGTACAACACCCAAAGGTATTCATTTGTATATCATATAGAAGAGAAAAGCAGGACATCTCATATTTAAAGGCTTTAAAAAACCATACAAAAATAGTTTTAAGGTATTTGAAAAGCTAAGAATCCACCAGCTCATTCACCCAACCTTCCATTTATTTAAGGAGGAAAACAACAATAACAAAAAGGAAGAAATTAAGCTTACATGCTGAAGAAATAAACAAAACAACACAAATGTATGACAAAAAAACAACACAAAATGAGCTGATAAATGAACCAATCATTACACAACCATACAAGATAAATCAAAACAATACAAAATCAGAATCAAAAATCATTCTTCATATCATAACAAAGGGCACAGTGCAGATACAATGAGTTGATGAGTAGACTGACATATTTGATAAAGAGGCACACATTTATACAATAAAAATAGTACACAACTAAGGTATAAAATTAAGTAGCAGTGAATATATGTGAGGTTTAAAAGTTAGTGAATATATGTGAAACAGTTAACTAGCAGCCAGTAATAAAAATATATAAATAGAAGTAGATATTGCACAATGTTATTTCACAACAGTGTTGTTACAGTCTAAGGTATTCAAGTAGAAGTCAGTTGTTACAATATTAAACTCTAGAAAATGTATACAGTGTATAAAATGTTTTGAATTATATATATA